CGGTAAAACTTGACTAATAACTGAATAAAGAGAATCGACCAAGAGGTCACCTTAAAACCAAAAAAAAAAAAAAAATTTTTAGGGCCCTTTTTTGATAAACCGTTACACAAAATTTTGCTCTTAAGTAACATTGAGAAAGTAACGAAACAAAGCACTTGTAACTAATAAAAAGGCCACTAGACAAGATAAAAAACAAATAAACATCAATAAAACATCTATACTAAGCTGTAGAAAGAATTATTTTTACTGTTTGTTGAAATACTCGGGGTTTTAGGATGAGAACGATGGGTTGGTGGATAAATACGGAAGCGAAGTTTCAAAAAATTGACCTTTTTAACTTACTTTTGGCTTATAATTAAATACATAGATATCATAATTTTTTTATATATTTAATTATGAACATAAGGTTGTCGTTCTTACGAAAATTCGTCTTGTAATAAATTTTAAATATATGATTATTCTCAATCATGATTGGTTGATTTTGGGGTTGAACCAAACACGCTGATATGTATACTTAGCAATTACAGCGCCTGCTATATCTAATTATTTGTTTGTTGAAACTGAGAAAATTCTAGTTATACCGTATAATTTCCAACCCTAACTACCCCTCTCTAGATCCTAACCCTGACTCTAACTCTAACCTTAAAGAATTTTAAGAATTTTGTCTGCGCTGCCAACCTTGTACACATTTTCGATATGAATTATTTTTGAACTCGACCAATTTTAATATGACATAATAACATTTTTTGGTCTGGATTCAAAAATAATTACCTAAATAGACTACGTACTTACATAATTGATTTATTACATATACATGTTACGAGTCATGTTGATTTTTAGGTTAAGTTAAACTTGACCCAGTTAACTCGGATCATCATAATTTGACTTTTGACTTAGTCAAATTAATTTGATCGGATCAAGTAAAATAATATTGATTAGAACTACAGTCAACTCTCTCTAAGTGCAACCTCTCTAAATGTAACTTTTCTTTGAATGCAACTTTAACTTCAGGCCCAAGTAAATGGTTGGTACATGTTTGGTCTCTATAAATGCAATTTTTCTTAATTGTTCTCTAAATACATGTTACTAAAAGTCTGGTCCCAACGAATTGCAATTAAAGAGAGTTGACTGTAATAAGTTCAAAATTTAAACTATTTATAAATATTGCATCACTTTGAACACATTTAATTCTTCAGGAAAGCTGGGTCAGGCTGGATCATCGTTATGGATAGATAAAGGAAGTTAACACATAATTTTATTTAAATGAACTTAATGAAAAAAATAAAAAAACAATTTAACTATCATATTTCATAAACTTTCTATAATAGATATTACAACGTCATTTTTAGCTGATTAAACAAACTTCCAATGCCGACTATGCTGTCACGCTTAGCATTAACATCATGACAAAAATTTAAATGAAAAAGTTATCGTTAAAACTTTTATTAAAGTATTTGTTATATTAAGGCTTGATTACTTTCTGATATCTACTAAACTTCTATTATTATATAATAAAAATCTAAGCTATTACACAACGAGTAAGAAGTAATTATTATCAGAACTTTTCTCGTTCTTGGTTTTAGCGCAACTACCTTATTTAGGGTCATCTAAAGCCGTGCGCAATCACGTTGCATAGAGCCGATAAAATTGTTTGTTTTGATCAACTTACGAAGAAAAAAAAAAAAGAAAAACTTCAAAAATACAAGAAACGAGTGTCTAAACCTATCTTGGGGCTTAATAAAAAAATGTCGGAGAGGCAATTTTACTATAAGATCTACCCTCACCCTAACCAGTACTAACCTACCCTAACTCTAAATAAAAATTCAAAAACATATGACTGCACACGGCTTTAGACTTACCCTTATTTATAGTTAGAACAATGTGATTATGTCAAACTCAGATAGTTGGAAATGCCCTCGATTGGATAATCACACTCATTGAGCGAATTGCTGCAAACTATCATTCATTTATCTCAATACACAATAAACAAAGCAAATTAAAGGTAAATCATGAAAAGTATATGTTTCTATGAATCCCCTAGATAAAGAATAAGCTCATTAAGATATCTAATATTACTTTTTTCTAAATCATTGAAAATTGTATCAATCGATTGAGATGCAGAAACCCCACCACCACCGTTACTATGTTTACCATGTAAAACCACTAGATTTAAATCTTGTGGAGAAACAAAAGAAACTACAGACCCACCACTATCACCGAGAGCGGAATCATAATTTCCAACGACTAAATCAGTTATAAAAAATTCCCTTGATATAAAAATTCCATTTAAACCTTTTACAAATCCACAAGTAAAATGTGAAGTGTAGCCAGATTTACATATATGAACACCATGACTAGATACAGGTGCACTATAACTTATAGTAAATTCTGCATATTGATCATTATCAGTATTTCTTATGGCAATTGATGGGAAAAAATCATCATTATCAACTTCAATTATACCATAATCGAGAAATCCTTCTTCAGAATTATATGTCATTGATCCAATATATGGTGAATCATGTTGCGTAGGATCCGAATTCCATGGTAAATAATGAAAATTGGTTTGAAGATTATTTTCATTAAAGCAATGTCCTGTGGTCACAATATATAAATGATCTGATTCATCTTTATCCTTTACCCAAAAACCAGCAGAACAATAACGGCCATCACTTTTTTGTAACCCATCTCCGCCTAATATTTTCTTTTTTATTGAATTACCACCACTTCGTGGTCTTATTATAGTTTGCGGAACAGATAGGGGTTCTTCATTAACATAGAATATAGCCGGGTGAAAGCGTTCAACAGCATTCAAAAACTCTAAATTATTAATATGCCTTTCGAAAAAATATAAAATAAATATTATTATATTCCATATCAGTGAGAATATAAAGTCTTTGTGCATCAGTTACTCTAGCTAAATAAGATATTTCGCGGAAATTGTGTTTCAATTGACTCATGGAATTGTTTGCTTCTCTAAAATATAACAATTTCTTATATGGCTTTATTTGAGGCAAGGCTAGCAATTCATTGACTTTAGAAAAGTCCACTGTATTGACAATTATTAGCTCTGAAAATATATCTATATAAGTTCCGCCAAAGCTTGAAATAAAAGAATCATCTTCTAGAATTGGTCTTAAGATATCATCAATCGCAACCAAATTTCTCTCAGACTCCAACCATTCGGGTACATCTGCATCACTTATGTTCCATAATCGTGCTAACGGATGATTCTGTTGCGCATAAACTGAATAAATTTGTAATGTTATCAATAAATTTATTAAGGTATAAATAGCTTTCATTATTACTTTGTAATTATTGTACTAATATATATTAGTTGATAAATATTGTTAGGTATTAATAATGGTTTAACGTAAAAAATGTGTACTTATATAATAAAGTTTGACTTTAGCGTCGTCTGCCGTATTATATACAATATAAATTAGGCTGATGATCTCATTTAACTAATAGTTCAGTAGTTTAACGCATTAACAAGAATAAGATCTAAACTAAGACATACCAAAATACAGTGTTGGTAGTCGAAACCTAAAATTAGGCTGATGATACAAATTTAACCTCTATAAGTAAATTGTCGATCATAAATAAGCACACTCGCGACTTGATTGTACATCAAATATTTAAAATAATTGCAAACTAACGCATATATTATCATATAAGATAAAATTTTATATAACGACGATTATGAGTATGCATCTGCTACTAACAGGTGTGACCGTTCAAATTCGTAGATAATACATTTAATAAAGTTGTATTTGGTGAGGTTTCACTGTAAAGAATTGAAAAAGTAAAATAATCTTTTTTATCCCATGTCTCCTAATGGTCGCCCGTGATACTCCGCACTGATATTTTCACACGGATGATCACCCGTGAAAATATCAAAAATTATTCCACGGCCCCGCATTTCTTGGACTGGGTCAGTATGTTACTAAGGTTTTTTACTCTTATAATTGTTTTTGACCGATTCAATATTTTATTTATTAACATAATATTGAACACGATTTTTTAAACACTTAAAACAGCTTAAATTGTAGCGATTATGCAAGTACTTATTTAATTGCTAGTAAATAGTCATTGGTCTTGCCTTTTACAAATTTTTATAATTAGTTTTTAAGCTATTCTAGAA